GGGAGCATCTCCACCCGCTTGGCCAGGGGTGAGTCGGGGGCGGCCACCTGAAACCACACAGAAAATACAGACCCTGAGCGTAGTAGGATTTTCAGTAGAAGGTCCGGCTCAACCCCCTCCCCCCTCCGTTTTCCGCAAGAAGCACCATACAAACATGCTGGATCTACACATTCTATTTTTTTCTACATACATTTTTGTCTACCTTTTTTTGACCTATCTATCTATTTCCTTTCTCTTTCTCTCTCTCTCTCTCNNCTCTCTCTCTCCCTCTCTCTCTTCTTAAAAGAAGAGTCCCCCACCTGCCGGAGGTACTCTCGAACCTCCTGGTCTGAGAGGCCGCCGTCGATGGTGCCCTCGCGCTCGTGTGCGAAGCTGCGGCCGACGTGCTCGGAGGCGAGCCACAGGGACATCCAAGAGCACATCACCTCCTTCAGCCTCAGCTGCTCTGAAAAGTGCTAGGGTTTGGAGTTTTGTTTTGAGGGTTTAGGGTATCAGCTCCTCCTTCCGCCTCATCTGCTCCTGAGAATTCGACGGCGCCTGATGTTTAGGGGCCCCTACAGCATGAAGACTACTACTTGGGGTCTCTGTCAGGGTATTGCATGGATCCTTCCACTCAAGGTTTTTATCGAAGCACTTAGAATAAGGTATCCTGCTCCGCTACGGGCTCAAAGAGGTTTGGTCCCCCCCAAGGCACTCAAAGGAGGGGGCACGATGAGGAATTTCGCCTAAATCCTGAACCTGAATCCTAACCCTAGATCCCGAAATCCTGAACCCTAAATCCCTAAGACACTTAAACCCCGAAACACGAACACCTCAGAAGCAGCTTCTCATAAAAGCATGCAGTTGGTGAGCCCCTCTAAACCGGATGTCGTTCGTGATCTTCACAACCCCACGCCCTAAAACCCCCTAAAAACCCCTGAAGCCCACACCAACAACCCACCCCCCATAAAGAGGCAGGGTGCTTCTCCTCATAGAACTCCAGGTTCAGGAGGACCAGATGCGGGCTGCGCTGCATCTTCAGCTCCCGGGTCCCGTCGGCCACGGTCTTCGCGATCTGCTTCAGGATGTCCTTTCAGGGGCTTAGGGTTTAGGCATATGTAGGGGTTTAGGGTTTAGGGATGTAGGGGTTTAGGGTTTAGGGATGTAGGGGTTTAGGGGTCTAGGGATGTAGGGGTTTAGGGTTGAGGGATGTAGGGGCTTAGGGCTTAGCAGGGCTGCGTTGGGAGCTTAGGGAAAAGGGCTTTAAAGGTTTAGGGTTCCGGGTCCTTGGCCTTACGAGTTCGGGCTTTCAGCTTAAGGGTTTTGGGCAAAGAAGGACGCCAAGAGATTTCCCCGGAACCACTCTCCGAGCTCCGAAGCCCGCTGGAATGTAAGGGCTTTCAGGGTTTAGGGTTCAGGGGTGCTTCGGTTCAGGCCTTAGGGTGCAATGCAGCGTACTGTAGAAGCCCAAATAATGACCAACATTATTCCCGTGACGCCTCCTTCTTATAAGTCTTATCATTCATTAGAGGAGCCCAAATGTTCTAGTGAACTTTTGGGCTCCTAATATTAAAGGTCAAGGCTTCAGCGCTTGGGCTTTAGGCACTCTAGATCCCAACCCCCCTTTCATCTCTGGCCGCTTGGGCCCCGAAGCTGCCACCCCGAACCTCCCGAGCCCTGCAGAACCCTGCAGGACCTCTTAAAAACGCCTTGCGTAACCTTCTAACAACCCTATAGAAAGCCGTAGAACGCCGTAGAACCTACTAGAACCTACTTGCAAGCCCTTACAGAAGCCCTAAACCCTAAATCCTAAACCCTTGGCACTAAACCCTGAACCCTAAACCCTAAACCCTAAATCCTAGACCCTGGACCCTAAACCCTAAACCCTAAACCCTAGACCCCAGAACCCAAAGCCCTAAACCCAAAAGTCAGGGACTCTCCAGTCGAGGCCTTGGCCAGGGCGCTGTCCGCGAAGCGCTCCGGGGGCGTGAGCTCGCCGTCCTTGCCCGCCTGGGAGAGGGCTCAGGCTGTTTGGGGCTTAGGGCTTAGGGCTTTAGGGTTTAGGGCTCAGGGTTTAGGGTTCAGGCCTTTTTAGGGCTCAGGGCTTAGGGCTCAGGGCTTAGGGCTTTGGGCCTAGGGCCTTGGGTTTACGGCTTAGGGCTCAGGGCTTTGGGTTTAGGGTTTACGGCTTAGGGCTTAGTTCAAGGCTTAGGGTTTAGGATTAAGGGTTTACCGCTTGGGGTGCGGATAGGAGACATGAAGACAACATGAAGCCCGGGGTTTGGGGTGTCGCGGTTCATGGCTTCGGGTAGGGCCTGTTTAGGGTTTAGGGTTTGTTTGAGGTTTAGGGTTTTGCTTAGGGTTTAGGGTTCGGGATGTGGGTGCAGGGTTGCTGTATCTGCTTGGAACCTGATGAGAACCAAAAGAGGCTGGCAACCCCAAGCCCAAGCCGCGGTCGAGCGGAGGGAGCTGAGGATGTGTTGAAGTCATGGCTTACTGATCCCTAAACCCTAAACCCTA